TATATTCCACATTTTGACATTGGAACTCTGGTGTTGTGAGGGTTTGGATACACTTCTACTTCTAGTCTTCACCAGTACACAGCAGACTTGGGCCGTTGAGCTGTCGCACGCCATATTGGACGATCCAAGGCATGTTTTTCCAAAAGTTTTTTTTTGTTGTTACAATTTTCATGTAGCGTTCGAGGACGTCCTTGTGGCGTAGTTTATGCCCGCTTTATTCAGCCTTTTCCGCGGTATTCTCCATAGAAAATATCCTTCGGGAGACGAGAAACTGGCATTCTTGCCACGTGGCCCGCCAATCTCAGCTGTGAGGCTGTTACATGGGCTTCTATACTTTCAGTCTTACTCGTTTCAAAACTCCCATGTTTGCTACTTTCTCCTCTAATTGATTTCCAGGCGATGAAGTTAGAATCCCGTGAGCTTTGTAAGGTGTCTACGATACGGGGCCATGCATTCATTGCTGTATGAAAGCACTGGGAGGGCAACAGTTATGTGAACCGTGATCTTTGTGGCCAGTCTGATGTCAGTGTGCCCCTAATAAGCCGTATGGACTACACTACACCTGTTTCATACCATTACATTTCAGATTGTGTGGGGCTTGGACTGCTTCCACAAAAACCGAAAACCACCCAAGGCTACATTGGACACAGCTACGTGGAAAGGCTAGGATATTAATTGATAAAATATCGTCCACAAGCCAGAATGAAACTCGCGTCTTTCGAGCGCAAGGCGAAAAGAATTAACAATCATACCACAAATACCGATGGACCAGATATGATTCTTATCAAGCCCAGGAAACGTACAAATAAAGCTGTATCAATCCTATACAGACAATCAACGATCAAAATAAGCATATTAATTCTGGTTTGTCCCGGTTATAAAACCAGGGGATATTAATATGGTGGCAGAAACCAGCAATGCTGCCAGAAATGGTGAGAACAGCTGGCACGGACATTAAAAAAAGGTGAAGGACAAAGAATGAGAGGCACAAACACATTTAGAGTAAAAACGGTCTACTGCTTTGGAATGCTGACATCAACATAATCTGGCGACGCTTAACACCGCTCTGTCCATCAAGCCCTGGAGAGAGAGTGGGGGTAGGGGGGGGAGCAGAAAGAAGAGTGAGAGAGAATAAGAGAGATGGCAATGGAGAGAGAGAGAGAATAGAAAGAGGAAGGGTGAAAGAGAGAGGGAGGGGGAGAGAGGACGAGAGAGGGGGAGAGAGAGAAAGAGAGAGAGAGAGAGAGAGAGAGAGAGAGAGAGAGAGAGAGAGAGAGAGAGAGAGAGAGAGAGAGAAGAAGAAGAAGGAGGGGTGATGTCTTTCATCAAGTCAGAGAATGAGAAGAGAAATCTTAAGGAGTGGGGCGGAATGGAAAAGGGGGTAACGTGAAGGGAGGGAAAAGCAGACGTCGGGGCAGGGGGAGAAGGGTTACGGGGTAGGGGGTTTCGGTCAAATTCAGGAATAGATGTTCTACCTTGGATAGGAAAAGAGGAATCTGAAAGAGAGATTGAAGGTGTTATACAGAATACAAATTAAAAATAACCGGAAAGAAAGAGGAGGGGGGAGGGGGCAGGGGCAGCAGGGAGAGAGGAGGTAGCTTTAGAGATTCTAAGCATCCGAACATAAGTCTGAAGAACTGGGATTATATAGAGGAGGAGGAAGACGATGAGACATAGATAGAGAAAGAGGGAGAGAGAGAGAGAGAGAGAGAGAGAGAGAGA